CCCCAAAACCCCAAAACCCCAAAACCCCAAAACCCCGCAAACAAAAATTAAAACAAAATAGTAAAACAAATTAATTTATATAATGTATGAAAATTTGATGCATTAGCAAGCTTGATTAAGGGTTTACTATAATCAACTGTTCTCTATAAAGTCTTCTGGAGTACTAGACAATATTTATACAACTTCATTTTTAACTGGACCAGGTTTCTTTCTCTTTTTACATAGTTCTTCTATTTATCTCAGCTTTTGATAATAGAAATTTCTCTCCTCCTCAATTTATTGTATGTCCTCTAAAAACATCTTGTGATTGAAGAGCTGTGAAGTCAATTCACTCTCTAATGATTGTACGAGATCCTACAGCTATGTCTTTCTCTACTCATTTATTTCTTTAATTGGTATCTGTGATTCATTCTGTGCAGAGTATATATCAGACTAGTACTACGGATCAGAAGTGAATATATTGCTAGTATTTTGATACTACTATTGCTGGTTCTGCTGCATTTGTAACTACATATTAATCTATTGCTGCTACTACTGCATTTTCTAGTTTATGTTCTTAAGTAATGGATGCTTTTGATTCTTGATCTCTTCTTACTCCTCTTCACTAAGCGGTTATTCATCCTGCTGCTGCTCGTTTTTGCGATATGAAGACTTGTTAGGAACTAAATGAGGACTCATTTAGATTTAAAAACCTGATAGCGATGTCAAATTATTCTATTTTTTATAAGCTTCTAATCTTCTTTGGTATCCATTGTAGAATGTTCCAAAGTTAGGTGAAGTGCGCTGGGAGTAGTCATATAGCCATTGAAGAAAGTCCATGTTAAACTAGAATTTACCATTTGCCATGTTAGGTACACTTATCTGCTTTTAAAGTTTAAGTTTAGTAATGCAGTCATCTAAGATTTTCAAGTTTCTAGCGAAGTCATCCTTATTTTTACCATTAAAGTTAACTCTCACCATAGGAACGAAATTAGGGTGAATAGCATCAACAACTTGCAAGAATGCTACACCATCACTGCACATTTCAACTTTGGGATAGTCAGTCTCGACCATTTCGTTCAGCCAAGCTAATAATTCCAATCTACCTAAATTTCTTGCTTTCATTAAATTTTAAAATTATAAATTTTTAAATATTATTTTTTCAATACTTTACTTAATTAATGATTTGGGGTTTTGGGGTTTTGGGGAGATCGGAAGAGCGTCGTGT